GGATTTGGGCAAGATAAGTTCATTAGCCAAGGACAAGAGAGCTCCAAATAGACAGCTGATCTGTCAAGGAAAAACGGCCAGGCGGGGTGACCGGAGCCGCCTCAGGGCCCCCAGCCCTTCCAGAAAGTCAGGGGGCAGCCACTGTGGTTGCCCACCTACCGACCCAGGAAACCAGGCCACGCACTAGCTAAGTTCAGCCATGCCCGAAAATATGCACCACCAACAAACAATATTTGCAATTCACACATTCCGGCTGGCTTCCAAAGCAGACCTGGGCATTTTTTTAATGCCCCATGGGCCATATCAGGCCCATCTGTGCAGGTAATCCTCGACTTACAACAGTTCATTTAGTGACCGCACTGAAAAAGAGGACTTATGCCCGTTTTTTCACACTTACGACTACTGCAGCATCCCCATGCTGGTCAGGCAATCGAATTTGGACACTTGGCCACTGACTCATACTTATAACGGTCGCAGCGTTCCCCAGGGTTCACGGGGACCCCTTTTGTGACCTTCTGAGAAGCAAAGTCAATGGGGAAAGCCGGATTCGCTTAATGACTGTGTGACTCATTTAACAACTGCAAGGGTTCACTTAACGACCGTTGTCAGGGTTCCAGAACAACCCAATTCCAATTAAAAACTCTGAGACCAGCATTTTCTCAAAGTTTCCTTTTTATTAGAGCAATAATGGCTTCCAAATGGCAGGAAAAGTCAAAAGTGGGACAAAACAAATGTTTCACTTAGCAACATAAATTGTGGGCTCCGTCGTGGTCGTAAGTCAAGGACTATCTGCATTGCTTTTATTTTGAAGGTCGGCTGCTAATCCCCCACCCCCATGGACGTAGGTGTGATTGTGCGTGCCTTACACACCTTCCCAGCCCTCCACAACAATCCCAATTTCTCAAGTGGCCCTGTGGGGAAATTCATGGCCCATCCGCTGTTCCAGGATGGCGCAGCTGGGCAACAGGACACTCAGCCACGGACACCCAACAGGTGCCACCAGCATGGTGACCTCCAGTAAATGACACGAATTGTCACTGGTGTCAGAGCGGAACAAGTGAGGTCATTTCCTCCCCCCCCCAGGGGAGAGGAAACCAAGGGGGGGGGGGAGAGAGAGCTGCTTGCACAGAATGAAACAAGAAAAAGAAAGAAATATTCTGATTTTAGGTGGCAGGTGAGAATTTGTTGTCAGGGTGCATCAAGCACACTTCCGGCTTTTTTCGGACAGAGCGTGTGACTTTCTCCCCAACAGTTATTGTGCAGTAATGTTTCCCAACCTTGGCAGCTTTCAGAGGGGTGGACTTCAACTCCCAGAATCCTCCAGCCAGTATGATTTAAGGCCGGGGTCTCCAACCTTGGCCACTTCAACTCCCAGAATCCTCCAGCCAGCATGCCGAGTTGAAGTCCATTCATCTTAAATCAGGGTCTCCAACCTTGGAGTTGGAGTTCTGGGAGTTGAAGTCCTCCAGGCTTAAAGTGGCCACGGTTGGAGACCCCCGATTTAAGGATGAATGGACTTCAACTCCGCATGCCGGCTGGGGAATTCTGGGAGTTGAAGTCCACCCTTTGAAAAGCGGTTCAAGTTAAAAAAACACCCTTGTGGAGTAAACTAAACTGCCAAACACCCAGGGACCCTCATGAGGTCTCCAAGCCCACTTGTGAACTGGCTTAATGTTGGGATGCAAGTGGATGCCACCCGGTGCCCGCTGGGTGTCCTTTGGCAGTCTAGGATCTTCCGGAAGGCCATTGGCAGAACCGGGCGGGATTAAGGATTTGCTGAGATCTGTTAGGATGATTTGAAAGACAAAATAAGATGCTAAATAAGATGCTCCTTTGCTTCCCGTCACGCTCCTTCTCATCCACTCCCCACCCTCCCTAATGCCCAGTAATCTTGGACTGACCTCAAGGCACAGGAGAGATGCACCTGCTGCTTGGGGGGGGGGGGGTTAAGCCAGGGCCATGCCAGGCCTTGGAGGGCAGAGCTGCCAGGTCTCAGGAAAGGGGAGGTCTCGAAACCAGGGGCAGCAACAGCTTGGCAGCCCCCTCTGCTCCCTTAAAGCTCATCTGGGGGGGCTGGAGACCCCCAGCCTCCCATTTGCGGCAGCCTTTCCCCAGGGAGAACCCAGGGTGTGTGTGTGTGATGGGGGAGATGCTCCTCACCTGTGGATTCTCCCTTTGGGAAACTGGGTCAATCTTTGCACTGGAGGGGTGTGTGTGTCTGTGTGTCCCATGGGCTGCCTTGACCCAACCCCAAGAGTTCTTCCTCCGGGTTCACACAACCGCAGCTTAACCCTGCTTAAGACTCAGGGGCTTAGCCAAGGGTCAGGGCAGGCCAAGAGCCCTTGGGAAGAGGAGGGCCGGGAGGGGGCGCGGGGGGGGGGGGCAGCTTCGGGGCCAGGCTCTGCCGGGGCTCGGAAGAGGAAGCGGGCCGGCCCCTCCAAAGAAGCTGGGAGACGCCCAAAGCGCCCCGCTTCCCCCTCGGCCGCTTCTCCGCCCGGAGGAGCCTCTTCCGCGGGGCCCGGCTTGGCAAGGGGCCCCCCTCGCCCTCCCGGGGCCGGCCAAGAGGCTGCAGCCCCCCGCTTCCCCGGCCACGCTCCCCGGGAGCAACTTCGTGCTCCGGCCAAGCCCTCCCCGGACGCCCCCCTCATGCCGGCGGGGCTCGGAGCCAGCGGGGCGCGGGGCAAAGCAGCCCCGCCGGATGAGGGGGACCCCTCGAAGGACCGGGGCCCCCCGAGGCTCCGCGCGCCCTGCGTCAGAAGCGCCCGAGGCGGCGCAGCGCAGCCCGGCTGGCTCCCTCGCTCCCTCCCGCGGGGGTCCCGAGCCTGCCCGCCCCCCGCCTCACCTGAAGTGATCTTGCCCAGCCCCAGCACGTCCTCGGGGCTGATGGCCGCCTTGCGCAGCAGCTCCTCCTCGGTGCACAGGCCGGCGGTGGCGGCGGCTGCGCCCGCTCCGGCTGCTCCGTTGGCCGCGGCGCCGCTGCTGCCCTTCTTCACCTTCATGGTGCCGCCGCCGCCGCCGCCGGTGCGGATGCTGCTGCAGCCGCCGAGACTGGAGCCACTGGAGCTGCGCGCACCCCGCCGCCGCCGCTCCTCCTCCTCCCTGTCCGCCCGGCCAGGCCCGGCCGCGCGCCCTAAGCCCTGGGCGGCTGCAAATCCTCCCCTCCGGCCCCGGCTCCGCCCCGGAGGGAGGACCAGGGCGCCCCGGAGCACGTGCAGAGCGCCGCCCACCGGCTCGCCAGCTGAGAGAGAGAGGGGGGAGGGGGACACACGCCCCTGGTCGTCCAGGGATGGCGGGGCAAAGCGGCCCCTGGGCATGTGCAGAGGGACCAGCTTGTGGGTGGGCTGGGCAAGGGGGGCGAAAGCCGTCCTCGCCACTCGCAGGGAAACTTGCCCCGCGGCCGCTGGAGGCTTTCAAGAAGAGATTGGTCGGAAATGGTGGTGTAGGATCTCCTGCTTGGGGGGTGGGTGGGTTTGGACTAGATGACCTCCGAGGTCCCTCCCAACTCTGTTCATCTGTAATATCTGCATGCGGGAGGCAGCATGAGCACCTGCCTGGGATGCTTCTCTCTTTGCTAAGTCGGCTTGCCTTTCCAAAACCCTCAGGCATCTTCGGAGCCAGTCCCAGGTTTGTTGAATCCTGGTTTGTTGAATCAAGCACATTGACTTCAAACAAGCTAGACCGGAGATGTCCACCCTTGAAGTCCACAAGCCTTTACGTGGCCAAGGTTGGATTCCCAATCTAGACTGTAAATCTGTTTGCAAATCCTCACTTTTGGATCCGTGCGGCACGGGGTGCAGCTCTTTGTGGCAACACCACCGCAGCTCCACAGATACGGCCAGGAGGGTCTGCCCTGCACCCCTTCCATCGAGCAATGCCACTAAGTGGGACCCTGCAGTGGTGTCCTCTCTCTGTGGTAGCCCCTGCCCTCTGCAACCCCAAGAGATGCAGGTGCCCCCAATCGGTTGGCATCAAAGTCATGGGCTGTTCCCCAGGGATCTGGGTGCGAGGTCAGGCTGCAATGCCGTTTTATGAATGTGGTGTGTATCATTTCTCCACGGTTGGGGCCCAGAATCGCTGCTACGGTGCCTCTGACTTGGTTGGATCCATTGATCCTCCATTGATCCATTGACAAGGTAACTTGTCAGACAGCCAGTTTGGTCTAGTGGTGAAGGCCGCAGAGTGGAAAATGGGAGTTCTAGTCCCGCCTTAGGCAGGAAAGCCAGCTGGGTGACTTTGGGCCAATCACCAGGAGGCAGTGAGTTCTAATCCTGATTTAGGCCCAAAACTCAGCTGGGTGACTTTTAGCTGGTTGTTGTGGTGCAGAAAAGAGGAAGAGGAAGGAATACTGGATATGTTTGTCGCCTTGAGTTTCTTGTAAAAAGAATAAATGCAAGAGACAAATAAATAAAATTGCCCACAGGCCGCAAGCTTGGACACCCCCAGAATCTCCTTGGCTGCTTAAAACCCAGAATTTTTTTTCCACTTTTTATATTATAAGCTGTCCTCTGTATCAGTGAGCTGGGCGGCATAAGAAATTTAATCAACCAACCAACCAACCTGCTGAATAGAATATAAATAGAATAACAGAGTTGGAAGGGACCTTGGAGGTCTTCTAGTCCAGCCCCCCTGTTCAACCGTTCCAGACAAGCAGCTGTCCGATCTCTTCTTAAAAGCCTCCAGTGATAAGAGCATTCATAACTTCTGGTGGCAGGCTGTTCCACTGGTTAAGTGTCCTCCCTGGTAGGAAGTTTCTCCTTCGTTCCAGTTGCTTCTCTCTCCTTGGTCAGTTTCCATCCGTTGCTTCTCGTCCTGCCCTTCGGGGGCTTTGGAGAATAGCTGGACTCCCTCTTCTTTGGGGGCAGCCCCTGAGATACTGGAAGACTCTGCTCTCCTGCCTCCCCGATCCTTCTTGTCATGAAACGAGACCTATTTTAGCTTTCCTTATTTGCAAGCGGCCCGTCAACCCCCCTCCACACTGGCTGCTCCCCCCCCTTCCCTGCTCCAAAAACACACAAGCGAACTGCAAAAGAGGCTCAGCGCTCCCACCGGTCAGCCAAGCCAACTTTAATGGGAGATCGGTCCGATGCTTGCTCGGGAGGCAAAGGGGGGGATCTCCCCCTTCCGCTCCCTTGTGCCCTCCAAGAGGCCTCGTGGGCATCAGCTGGGAAACGCCCAGCACCCCTGGCAGCTGAGCCTTGAGCCGGAGTCGCCTCTCCGTCCAGCCTGGCCAGCATTAAGGAGAGTTCCTGAAGTCCTTTGGGCTCGTTCGCAGCGAAAGGGACGCGCTCCCTTAAGAGGAGCAGCCCGTGGAAAGCTCCGCCCCGCCCTTCCTCCAACGGGGAGCTCCGCCATGCTGTCCGGGCCGACCACCATCAGGGCAGCCGCCCAGGCAAGAGTCTGCTCCGCTGCCCGGGCGTCCAGAGACCCCGTCCCCTCAGTCCATCTTGGTGGGCTCCTTCTGGCGCTGCTTCCTCTCCCAAACCATCTTGGCCAGCGAGAGAAGGATGGGGACGGCCATGGGAAGGAAGAGCGGGATGTAGATGGCGAACTTCTGGTCGTCGGGGAAGTAGAGCAGGTGCAGGAGGGAGGGGTCGAAGAAAGCCCGCTCGGACGAGGTGGCCGCAGCCTTGCTGGCCTGGAAGGCCGAGTCCAGGCGGCCCAAGCTCAGCTCTGTCATCGCCCGCCGGGCAGACTCTACCGCGTGGTAGACCTGCGGGGGGAGGGCAAGAGCACCGATGTGGC